ATTGTTCATATTTAATGTTGTATGGTTTAACTTTTTCTAACCATTTTATTCCTAATGTAATATTATGGTTTCCTTGGTATATTTTAAATGGTATTACTAAGGGTATTCCTCCTATATTTATTTACTTTTCCATTGTTTCTTCATTTGTGTTTACTATCTCACTAGGTAATCTAGGGCATATGTGTCCTGTTTTCATAATTTCTTCTTCTAATACTAATTCTCTTGTTATATGATTTTCTTCTTGTCCTCTGTTTATCAAGATTTTATATTTTCTTTGGTCTATTATTCCTGTTATGTAATAATGATATGGTGTTATTTCTTCCTTATCTAATAAGTTTTGTGGAATTTCATAATTCCTTTTAGATGTACTCATTCTTGATGAGGTAGCTCTTGTTAACGTATTTGGTACCCTTGAAGTGCTTAATCTTTCTTTTACAATTTTTAAATCTTCTTCTATGTCAATTTCTTTATAGCTATAGTCATTATTGTCTATTACAGGAATTATTTTTTCAAAAGGATTTTCTATTTTTATTTTTATCAATTTTATTTCTTGCTGTTATTTTATGCTTTGTTGTTAATATGTATAGGTTTTTACATCTTGCTGTAAATTCTTTGCTACCTGGTGCTAGTTCTATTCCAGACATTTTCCAATATAGGACTAATGATTTATCTTTATTTCTATCTGTTAATGGTACTGTATAATTAGCACTTATTATAAATTTAAATTTTTGATATATTAAGTTTCCTTTTACTGCACTAATTACGTCTTTTTTCTATAGGGTGTATAATTCTATCATCTGCTAAATATATTTCAATAGGTGTATCTATTCCTTCTCTAAAACAAGCTTTTATTAATATTTCTGTTCCTCCTAAATGTACATATTTTATTGGTGTTTTAGCTTTTATACCTTGTATTTCTTTGTTTATTGTTCGTTTATTTAGTATAGGTATATATGCTTTTCCTCTTGTATATTTGCAATCTATGATATGCTCTTTCTGACTACCTACATAGTATTCTTCTTTTTGTCTCTTAAACCAATTTCTTAAGGTAGGTATTTCAAGTACTTTTTCAACACTTAAATCTAATTCTTTTCCTTTAATTTGTTCAAATATTGTATTATCAAATATAATTTTTTGTTCTGATAATTCTTCATTTTGATAATCTTCCTTGGATATTATTTTTATTTCATCTTCAGACATTATATTTCTTCATCTGTTTCGTTATTATCTATATTAATATTTTCTTCTTCATTGTCAGTTTCTATATCTGATACTTCATATATACTATAGTTTTCACTTAATTCATTGTCTATGTATTTTATCTGCATATATTCGTCATCATCTATAACTATTTCTGCAATTTATTTTCTTTTGGATTTTTAGGTAATTTACAGTCTCTAGCTATGTGTCCTATCTTTCCGCAATTATAACATGTACATTGGGATATTTTTCTTTTAGGTCTATATGGTCTTTTTATTTTGTAGTTTTTTACATAATACCTTCGTCTTGGTTGTTTATATTTATACTTAGTTTTATTTTTTCTATAACTTTTATATCTTTGGGATTTTTGTTTTTTATTTGTACACCCAAACTGTGGTGCCATTTTATTTTTACAACATGATAAATTTTTATTTAGTACTTTTTCCATTTTTAATTTTTCTTTTTGGTTCTCACATAATTGTGTAAAGCATTGAGATAGAAATTTTATTCTAGCTCCTAAAGTATCTACCATTCCTTCATTATTCCAATCCTTTATTATTTTTGTACTAAATGGTTCTAGTAATTTTGTAAAATATTGTTTTCTTATTTCTTTTGCTTCGTCTAAATTGTATTTAGCTTTGTAGTAATATTCTTTGAATGCACAAGTATATTCTTTTATATAACACATTTTACATATAGCTAATTTTGTCATAAGTTGTCTATTTATTATTTTTCTCTATTTTGTTCTCTTATATCCGTGGTCATACCTCCAAATTCACTTCTTATTGCTGATTCATATTTGTCTAGTACATCTATATTTGTTGCTGATGGGGATCCATCCATTTTCTTATCATTCCTAAGTACTTCTAAACTTTCTGAGGGTAGATTTTCTATCCATAATTTTGTTGTTCCTACGAATGTTCTTTCTATGTATCTCGGTGTTTTTGTTGTTTCTATTTTGTTATCTATTAACTGTTTAGATATATTTCCTGTCCATAGTAATATTGCTTTATTTATGTCTGTGACACAATCTAAATCTAAGAAATTATATTGTTCACTTATTGATTTTGGTATCCAATTTTTATTTAATTTACTGTTCCATATTGCATTATTTCTATCTGATTGTTGATAACTTTATGTATAATAAGTTGGTGGTGTCCACCTAGGACTTCTTCTAGGACTATTTCTGGGACTGTTATTTGGGGTTTTAACTCTTGACGTACTAGGTCTATTCATATCTCCTGTGTTTATTTCTAATTTTTTTGTTTATTTACCTGTTCTAGATTTTCTGTGTATGTTTCGCTTATATCACTTATTTCTGATTTCTGATCATTTATTGTATCTGATTCATTTTCGTTTATTTCATTTACTTCAAGATCTTCATTTAGTTTTTGTTCCATCTCTTTTATCTCATTAGTTAATTCAAGCTCTTTATCTCTTTCCTTTTGTTTTTGTTTAGTTTCATATAATAATTTTAACCTAGCTAATTCTTTTTCTAATTCATCTATTCTTGTATGTTTTATCTCTTCTAAATGTTGTACTTCTTGTTTTGCTTGTATCTTTATTTTTTCAATTTCTTTTGATTTGTCTATCTCTTCATTTTCTTTTGTTATTCTTACCATAGTTGTTAAGCTATTTTCTAATTTTGCTGTTTCTTTTTCTAACATTAAATATAGGTTATTTCCTATTTTCTTATATCTTCTTCCTAAATTTGAAAAATATTATTTTTATTATCATTCCGTCTTGATTTTCATATGTCTTTTCATCTACTGCAAATTCTTCTTTATTCATTATGATTTACGTATTATATTATGTTGTAATTCATATTCAAGACAATCTAATTCTAATTCTAACATAAATATAACTTTTCTTTGTGCTAGTATTGATTTATTACATGCTCCAGCTATTATATTTTCTTCTAACCTTCTTTTTCTATGTTGTAATTCTTGTTCTTTTTCAGTTATTTTTTCCATTATTTTTTCTATTAATTGTTGTTTATATTTTTCTTTGTTCATACTGTTTTTTCAAATAATAAACATATTTATATTCTATTTTCGAAATTATATTTATCAAATGATATTTTTTATCGTTACCTGTTTTGACTAGTTGTGATAGTTCATATTCTATATACAAGGGTTTCAATTTTTTCCATGTCTTTCTTACTTTTTTATCTATCTTGGTTCTTTTTATTTTAATCTTTTTACTTTTGTTCATTATATTTTTCTGTATAAAATTTTAAAAAGTTTACTTAACTTGGTTGGGTTTTTAACTAATTTTTTCCTATATCTTATACTTCATCTTTGCCATATTTCAAATTTTTCTAATTCAATCATTAATCTATAAATATATCTAGATCGTCATATAAATCATACATATCATAGTAAAGTTAATCTTGTATACTTTGTATGGTTAACTCAGTCCATCCTTGGGTTGTTATTTATATTATTTCATATGTTACCAATTTGTCATAAATTTCTGTCTTTATATCAATACTCAGATTTTTTAGTATATAGAGTAGTAATATCTTATAATTATCATCATCATCTATTAAATAGGTACTCATTTTATTCATTTTTGCTAAAAGTTTTTATTCCTTCCAACCTCTTAATGGATTATACTTATTTATTATGAAATAATAACGATTTAATAATCGTCTCGTCTAGCCACTACTACAGCTTTCTTCTTTAATTAGTTACCCTAACAGCGCCTCAACTTTGTTTACTCCCCTAAACGACGTTCTTGCCTACCGGTTTCAACTTTTAGGATGGCATAGTCTGGGCATACTTATTCCAAGAATATTTCTGTAGTAAACCTTCTAAAGATATTTATTATAACATTATTATGTCATGCTAAACAATTATAATGAACAAGAGATTTTCAGGAATAAATCTATTTAGCTACACATAAATTTAAGAGTGTATACCTGTTTTTGTAGATTTGTAGCTCCAGATTTTTTCATAGTTAATAGCTTAATTAGTTAGCTAGCTCTGATACCAATTTTGGGGGTGGAAGCGGATTTGTAAAGAAAGAGAAAATATCATAGTGAGGAGAAGATGATGGAAGATTGGTTATTTTATTTATGAGGGAAACCCTCTATTTATATACAACAATCTTACCTCTTTGGCCAAAAATGGTCGACACCTACTTTACACTTGGCCTTTTTACATTTGGCCGACGCTAAAAACAAAAAAACCTAGTGGCCTATCTTTATTATTGGCCGACACACTTAGTATTTACTTTACGACTTTTATAATTTGCTTTTTACAGCCGACACAACACGACAAAAATAAATGACTATTACTTTGTACATATGGGTGATATTCAGCCGACACAAAAAACAAAATACTTTACTAAATACCTTTTTTTTATTCTAAAAGTACCTCAGGGATTATGTCATCCCCTTGGTTACATTTTGAACTATCCCTCGTTCTTCGGTGGTGATAGTTTTATTCTTGGAACAAACGTTTTGTAGCATATTCTCCTGTTGTTATTTTTGCATGTATGACATTCCTATCGAAAACTCTACAAAGCAATCATGTCCCATTGCACAACCCATTTCATGGGTCTAGATTCCTCAGCATCATAATGGGTGAATTTTCTTTTAGGACCAACCAATCATACATAATTTAACGATCCATCAATTTTTTTTTTGTAATTTAGTTATAATTTTTTGTATATGTGTTATGAGTTTATATTATAATAAAAGATATGTATATGTTAAGTTGTATTGATAACTTACCTATGCGGCGATAGGCTATTCGGTGTTAAGGTGTTGATCTTCTTGATAGTAGTTGTTTGTATCATCTTCCGTCAAAGCTGATGTATGTTTTTGTCTGTCCTGAGAATTTTTCAATCATCAATTCATTTAGCTTATCTACAAATTCATTTCTAGTTGCTAAGATGGCCTGTTCTGTTATATACTCCGCGGATCTGTAATTTTGTTCAAGTGTTGGGTAAATTTCCCTCACCAATGATTCTCCTGGATTTCCATCATTACTTTGTTCGACAATCATCTGTTGTGGAATCGCTATCAAGTTTTCTTTTATTGTGTGTTCTTCTCTGTTTTCAATATGAATCAATAACTTACTTAAAGTTGTATCTTTTCTTTCTCACATATTTGTCGTTAGTTTTATTTTTTCCATTAAAGGCCAAAAATATGACCTCAGTATACTTGCATCTACGGTCTCTGCTCTTGTAGATTTTGGTAGTACCTGTCGAAAGTCGCCTCCAAATACCATGACTTTACCTCCAAATGGTGCATCTTTATCCATTATATTGCGAAAGCTTCGGTCCACTGTTTCAACTGTGTGTCGCCTTGCCATTAGTGCTTCGTCCCATCTTATTAATTTTGCCTGTCTTATTAGTTTTGCCCCGCCGCCTTGCTTTGACATGTGTGTCATAGTTGTCTCATTTGCTTGTAGTGGTATGTCAAATCTTGAGTGTCCCATGCGCCCTCCAGGCAATAGTGTGCTGCCACACCACTGCTTGCACAAGCCAATGTTATCATGCCTTTTGATCTCACCTTGTCTAGTAGTCCCCGATATAGGAAAGTTTTACCGGTTCCCCCAGGCCCATCTACAAAGAATAAACCGTCTGTTTCTGAATTGACCCTTCCTAGAATTGTATCAAAAGTTTGTATTTGTTGTTGATTCAACTTGAATTGGGCGTCTGCATCCTCAACTAACACCTTAACATTCATTTCTTCTATTATTTCTCTACAGTGACGTGTGTCTATTTGATGTAATTATTTTTGGGTTTAATATACCTTTCAATTTGTCATTTGGAGCTGATATACCCCTCCTTATAAAAGTGGATCATATATGTCCTTACCGTTATACAAACGGCTCACATATACCCCTACTGTTACAAAATGGTTTACATATGCCCTTCATTTAACGGAAGTTAAAAAATTAGTTTTAAATTTATATTTGTTACTTCTATTTTTTTAAAAAAAAATTATTTAGGCGTATATATGATTATTCTATCAAAGTTCAAGGTATATTTTATTTTTTTCATACATAAATTATTTTTTGACTTCTTTTATTATAATTATTTGAGTTTCTTATTCTTATTTTTTTCTTTGATTCCATAGTTTAAAGAAAAAAATTTAAACTATTTTTTTCTGTGTATTGTAATTTAATTTCGTATTCAAAGAAAAAATTTGATCATACAAGAATATTAGTGAAACATAAATAAATTTGATTATCAAAATAATAATTATAAATTAGTCATTGAAATAAAAAAAAGTCAAAAAAAATGTTTGACGAGGATTAGATTTACTCATATGGGATTATATTTTTTAGAAAATAATAATAATAATTTAGATTAAAATTATTATTTCTTCCATTTCCATTAGAGGAAAAGGGTATATGTGGGTCATTTGTCTACAAGTAGGGGTATATATGAGCCACTTTTATAACGAGGGGTATATCAGCTCTAAATGACAAAGTTGAGAGGTATATCAGACCCTTTTCCCATTATTTTTTTACTTTTGGTATGTCATATTTGTCGACACTGTTCCATGCTCTCCAAGTAATAATTAATACTTTTCAAGTTTCATTTGAGTTGTTCTTCAGTTGTGGTTGAATGTCTCCTTTTAAAGCCTCCAGACATCCCCGTAAAATGTGTCCAATAGACTTCTCACATCCATAGGGTTGCAATGAACTAATATTGTAGCAAACAAACATCATAGTGCTTTTGGCATCTTGAATGTGACAGCCTCGCGTAAACATTTTGAAATGTTGTAATCTGATTCTAATAACCCTCTTTCTTTTGCTGTCTCTTTAAAAGTTAGACACTACTTTCCATTAAGAATTAGTAACTTTTCAAATTAAGTGGCTCCTCGTACGTGATTGAGCAATAGTCTTTCATATTACCTTTCTCCTTCTCTAGAATTTGCTGTTATATTTAGTATCTTTATTGTGTGTGATTAATTAACATGGATAGTAGTTGTAATTGACTTACCAATATTTATGCGGCCAATAACCGTGCGTGATTTTATTTTATCCATATTTTTGATAGGGAGTTCCATGCATAATGCTCAGGGAACTCTCTGTAATGATAATTGTGAGCCTCCATGTCTATAGAGCACATCCTGAAATACTCTGTAAGCATAGTTTATTGTACAATGTCTGATTGCACGATAGTTTGTAGATTTTGCTTCTTCTTACAGCACATACATATGTTTTAGTAAGCATAACATAAAGTAATGTTCTACATAGTGCACAAATTGTAATTGTAAATGTAATAATTGTCCATAAATTGTAACATACTTTTTTGTTTTTGTGGAAGATGTAATTGTAAGTTGATAACTGCCGGTTGCATTTCTTTTAGGTTAAATTCATATATTCTCCACATAACTTCTGGAGGTGATACCCAACATGCATCTTGGAAACTTTTGATTTCATCAATGAATTTTTCCTATTGTCGGATTCTATATACATGGCACATTTATAGTGGCCTTTATATATATATATATATATATATATATATATATATATATATATATATATATATATATAGATAGATAGATAGATAGATAGATAGATAGATAGATAGATATTTTATTGCTTTAACTCCTAAGCAGACTTCAACATTAATGTGACAGTTATATCTGATCAACAAATATGGATTATAAGTTACAACCCATTAATTATTCATGTTCATTCCACGAACCTCACTTGTTCTCCTGTCATTTCTTCTTCTGTAAATCGGAAATACATCCCTTCCTTGTATTGTTTTGTTGTTGAATGTTCTTTGATAGTGAAATTTACATTGTCCATTTTTCATACATGGACTTGTCTTTCCTCGCAAGGTCCTTGTATCATATGCTTTATTACTAATGTGCTTAATCTTGGATGTGTGTCTTTATTAGGGATTCTTCACTAATGTATCTATCATACTCATCTGGAGATCGTATCTTTTTTCCTTCTTTAAATAATAGAAGTAGGTGTATATTTGGTAAGCCTCCCTTCTAGAATTCTACAACAAAAACATATGCTGCGACGGTTCCAAATATTTCTTTCTTTAAAATTTGATCTTTCAAGTCTTGCAATTTTTCCCGAAACACTCTAGTCACCAAATCGGGTCTGTCTTGAGGTAGTTGTCCTGGACATAATTGTTTTTGAATTTCAACCCAATCTGGGTTACATGTCATGGTGATGAAAAGATCTGGTCATCCAAACTCCTGAACCAAAGCCATTGCATCCATATATCGGCGTCGCATATCCTTAGGGCCTCCAATGAATGATCGTGGTAGTAATACCTTTGTCCTACCTTGTCTACTCTACACTCACTTGCACTAACACTATCAACAATACCTTCGAGTATCTCCCTTCGATAATTTGATTGCTCGAATCTATAAAATTCTAGTCTGGTTCTTTCTATCTTAATGTATATGTCAACCACAAATTGCTGCAACAATATCCCGCACATTAAAAGTATTGATTTGTCACCAGTTCTTACTTGTAGTTTGTAACAGTACTACACCCTACAAGAAACAAAACCTTTGGATTCACGTCGCAAAGCTACACCAGTTTTATATAATTACAGTTAGATAAATTTTCCATATAAGGTAATTAGTAGCCATATATTTTTTATTAAAACTTGTAATATGATAGTACAATGTATTTATATATTTTTTTGGGTATATTGAAATGTTCTTACCTTGTGCTTCATTGGCCAACAACCCAGCAGCAGTTGTGGATGATAATCTACCCGATTCGGTAATTGTATTTGTATGTGTTTGGCTGTTGTTTATCTGGTTGCGTCATTTTTGTATTCCTTGAAACCTCCTTCTCCTTTAGGTAGAATTATCGGATATTGAAGCGGATAACAACAACCCTAATAATGTTGTACTCGATGTTTATTTCCTGAATGTTCATGTACAATAATATATCTTACAAATGGTGTGTTTGGATTGTTTCCGTCTACCCAAATTGCCGCTACCTGATCCACAGATGGTTTGTTATAGACTCGTTTCCATTATGCGTATTTCAAGATTTTATAAGTTTGTATGTTCTTTTAGTAGGGTGAAGAATTCTGCATATGGATTCCCCTCCATTATATTTCGTAATTTAGTCATGACTTCTTCTTACAAATTGGCATCTTGTAGTACCGACATTATTTTGGCTATTTCATGGTCAGTATTATAGAAGTATAGTTGAAAGTACCTTGGTCCGTTCTTGTTTGGAATTCAGGGACAAAGTTAATAATTTTTGTCAAGTTTAGAGATATCTTCAATATATTTCAAGAAAGGAAAAAAGAGTAAAAAATTAAACACACGTGAACTATCATTCTTTTGTAAAGTTTTGCATTTTGATTATTAGTTGTTTTATTTTTCCTACCTAAATTATCATGTATATATGTATTAAAACACATCTATTTGAATAAATAACGAGAGTTAAAATAGAAAAGGAAATAAATCCTTCCTAGAATATGCTAATTCTTTGTCCAACTTAACTCCAACTGACGTGAAAGCAAATATGTTATTATATGCACGTATATTTTTTCAAAATAATTTTGCGTTTTCTTAATCCGCCACAAATAATTCATAATAGTCATCTGCGACTTGATTGGGTGCTAAATTGACATATCCACATGCGCAACACAATGTTGGTGACTCATATTCAAACCTCATAGCATGACAGTGGCGGCAGTCTTGATTTTTTTTCTTCAATTTATGAGTTGAGGCTGGACTGAAGTTTGCATTTGTAAGCCCTATATTAAAAACGATAATAATACATAGTTGGAGAATGTTATTTTATGTCTAAAAATCTTTTTTTGTATACCTTTATGCATAGAAAATATGATCAAATATGCCTCCGTCAACATTTGGGTCAGATATAGCAAGGCGCTTAATTGTTTTGCCGCTTCTTCATTTGTGGTTCATGAACATGGCCATCTTCAATTTGATCAGTCGCTGACATATTTTTTTTCCAACTTTTGGAACACATTCTCTACATCCGGCTGTATTTTGCGCTTTGACACCTGGTGCAGAAGATGTTACAATTTGTACCTTTTGTCTGGCAGATAGTTGAAAGTTGGCATTAAAATGACATTTTGCTCAACATACCTTTTTTTTGCGGCAAGTTGTAGTGAACTTCCAATTTTTATTGGTAGCACTTATTAAGGAAATTAGATAATTTTGGTCATGTGTGCATGGACTTAATATTTATCTTATTAGTTGTTATATATTTCATTCATAAATTAGTCTTATATATTATATTAATCTAGCTTATTGCTATTATATTTTTACCATTTTTGTTATTTGAAATTGTATCATATTATTGTAATAATATTCAATCGTGTTATTGAAGCCTGTTATTGAAAATTGATTAAAAAAAATATTGAATGATGTGCATCTAAATAATGTCATAGCAACACCATTGTTTCATTTTTCACAAAATGAGAAAGATGTTTCACAAAGAGTAAAAAATAACATCAATTTGTATTCATAGCTTAATATAACTGTATTAGTTTTTAAACTAATATATTTCAATTTGAAATAAAAGAACTACATATTTCAAATACTTAAAAAAGTAAAAAAAAAACAAAACAAACAAACTACATCTTTCAAATATAACAATGAAATATAACTGAACGGAATTATCATTAATGGTGTTTATTAAGTATAGTATAGCTTAGTGTGCCAGAATTGTTTTACGTCTTATAGGTTTTCAAGTTCTCCTAATATATACG